CATTCTCTGTCTGTGCTTCTTCCCTCTTTCTTTAGATCTTTTCATTCTTTCCTTCTTTTCACGATTGTTCTCTCTAACTAATCGGGGTTACCTGTGCGCAGCCCCGACTAAAGCACTTCTGAACCAGAGCGCCCATTTCCCCGGAATCCCTTTTTTTTTTTCGAAGACCCTCAACTTCGAGCAAGGGAGAGGGAGGACGTAAATAAAGTTCCCCGAAACCGGAACAGTTTTAGAAAGCTGAACTTTACTTACCTGAATATGCTGAAGGGCTACACTCGAACAGGGAGTCACGATGTACTTCAGACATCGATCGTGGATCACGAAGTTGCAAACTGGAAAAGAGAAGAATTAAAAATATATGAACGACTCGATGTCGTCATATTCCACTCCGTATGACGCACGACTGACATTTAGACTCAGAGATGTAGGTAGAGATAAAATACACGTCCCAAAACAAATATAGCCGACCCAAAGATGTTATTTTATCTGAGTGGAAACTGAAATCAGTCGAGTAGGCCCTACGACGTCACATCCCTCCATGACAAGGATGTCAAAGGAAAGGATGTTACACGGCGGTCGTTGCTCGATCTTTCAGTTCAACTTGTTGACCTCCATGACCTTCACATTCCCTGCATGGGGGGCTTCAATCGACAATGGCAGAATTCGTCGTTAAGAAATACTCACCCATAATGAGTGCTCTCGCATCTTGCAGCGCAGCATGATGCACCACGCCATTTTAATGTGGGAATTAGACACATGACGATCATTCTTGTTGCAATTGCATTCATATGAAATGATAGTAGGAGAAAACTGGTGGGAAATGCCTCTTTTAGCATGAGTGCTCAAGCTCATGGAGCAGTGGAATCGTAGAACAAATTATCAGGGTTCTGGCAATTTAGGGTGGATTTTTGAACAGAGAACTATCCGATAATGCAGCTTTATTTACCAGATTTACAATGCATTTTCTCTGAAATAAAGCAGCATTATCGGATAATGCTCTGTTCAAAAATCCACCCTTAAGGTTGTAAAGGGGAGGGAGAAGGACCGAGAGGCGAGGGGCTAGAGGCATGGAGCGAGATGCGTAGAGCGAAATGCATGGGGCTAGATGCATGGGGCTGGATGCATGGGGCTAGAGACATGAGCTAGAGACATGAGCTAGAGGCAAGGGGCTAGAGGCAAGGGGCTAGAGACAAGGGGCAAGAGGCAAGGGGCAAAAGGCGAGGGGCAAAAGGCGAGGGGAGCCGGTAGCGTTTCAAAGTGCCTTCATCAGAGATTCTAGTGATCCGCTAGTGCAAAAAAAAAAAAAAAACCTCCCGCATCAATTTCCTTGAGAGCCGTTTAGTCGCATGCGAACATGTGGTTGTAAAGATTAAGCAAACGTGTCATGCAGATGCGATGGAATATGAGTTTCCGGCTTCTTCCGTCAGAGTTGAAGTGCACGATCCGAGAAAAAGTGGTTTTACGCTCTTTTCCTTCGACCACGAATCAGACCCAAGCGCACCTTAAAATAGTACATTTACTCCGATTTTTTTTAAAAACTTAATCTCCTTGAAAATGCGTGGGGTTCTCAAGATATGGAATTCCAGGAATATTCCCCTCTCCGACAATTACGCTGACTGGAAAAAAAGATAAACTTGGCGGTGCTCCCCAGAGAGCAGCACGCAAGAGATGCGATCAGATGCCCCAATTTCCCCCCTCTGCGTAACGTGATACTCAAAACCTGTCGGTCCAAATAGACATGATGAGGAACAGCCCCTGGTGTTACATAAGACGGTCTCGGCCCCTGTCATATTTCTGGGAGCTGGAATCAATCCATTAATTTTTCCAATGGAATCCGAATGAGCCAGAGCCCTCACACCGAGTAACATCGGCAAAGCATCTGGCCGTCGACCTCAAAAACTGCCCTGCTGTTCGGAAATTGCTGTTCGAAATCGGTTTGAGACCATGAACTGGAATCTCCAAGGCTTAAGATCTCGCAAAACCTCAATCTCCTGGTGAACTTCCTCCCAGCGACCTTCAGGAAGACCAAAGAATAAAGGGCGATTGAGAAGACTCGACTCCAAGATGGCGGAGGATAAGGATATTTCCATGTGAGGTCTCATAGGCGTTGGAGCGTCCATAAAAGTGTTGGAGTAAAAGGTTCCGAACAAGTACCCTTTGCCTCGACACCCGGGGCATTTCCCACTCCTGTCCCCTTCGCTTCCTACGTCCTTGCCTGCCTCAATTGTCATGTCGCCGAGATCTGGCGGTGTCGTCGTCGTAAAAGCGGGTGTCAGGTGGATAGGACTTGTCCAACAACATGTACTTGACACCATCTCATCCTCAGCCTCAGCCCCATCAGTTTTCCCTTCTAATCTCGGAATAATGACAATAGTAATTACACACATGCATATAGAATAAAGAAGACGACAACAAACCGAGAGAAAGAGAGAGAGAAGCTATCTGATCCCTTCTATACATGCCAGAGTGAAAAAGAGAGAGAGAGAGAGAGAGAGAGAGAGATAGACATCGATTGGCGCTGAAGTTCTTGTTGATGACGTGGATTCGAGAAGTTCCACTTTCCCCCCTGAAATCCCCTATGGGATCACTATGCCCAATTCCCAATGTCCTTCATCTCTGTCTTCCTCTTTCCCTTCCCCATCTCCCGCGTGCCCCCTTTGGAGGCACCCTGGGAGCACCGGCGACGAGAAACGGAAGGTGGTCGTCAAGAAAATTAGAGCATTTGCCCCATACCGAACACGAAATGTAAAAATAACGCATCCCTCCCTCCTGAGGATCTCATTACTTTTAATAGGGAAACGAATGACGTAATCTCTTTCAATGCCAGTAATGGACAAGAAGGGGGGAAAAAGTGATGCATTCCTGCAATTAGTTTCTTTTTAGGGGTTCCTTCATGTGTAACAGCTTACAGTTTGAAATAAGAAGTGAAAGTTAACTTATTCAGTTTTCTTTAGCAAAAATGTTGAAGTTACAGCAAATAGTAACTTCTCCTCAGTTAGCCTCCGCCAATCACTGCTGCATCCTGCATGTGACGCTTTTGAGCAAGCAGACGACAGCGGGTGTCATGAAGAACCAGCAAATAGAGTTCGATTCCAAGAAGCATTACAGAATTTCTTCTTTTTTTTTTTACCGAAGTGTGCAACTTTTTTTCCCATTTTCAACTCGCCTAAAAAATAGTCATTCGACTGAGCTTCAGGGAGTAACGAAATAATAAAAAAAGAAAAGAGTGCATTTCGGCTTTGGAAATCTATAGGCAAAAGCGATACGGATGAATTGCATGCGAGGGTCTCATTCGACAATCCCAGCTTGTCTATGGTTTCGTCCTTACATTATTTTTTAAATATTATCTTTAGCTCTTCCTCAAAAGGTCAGAGAAATTAGGGTTACTAGTGCCTTAAAAGGGACCTAAAACACAGCGAAGTAACCGAAAGTGAAACTGTAACTTTATACAGTTACTTTTTGTCAATAGATACCAACATTCCCCCAATTCCTCATTTTAAGCTGGCAACTGTCAAAAATTGCACAATGGATATAAAATTGGAAGTAAATCGGCGTGATTATTTCAGGGGAACATACCAACTGATGCCTGAAATTACTGACACCCAATGCAGCAGCGGAGGGGATCAATAGACGAGTCATCTGATTAAAAAAAAAAAAAAGTGCCGTCTTTTTTTTTTTTTGCTACCCTGGAGATGGTAAAGCAATAACCCGACCTCCCACCACGACCTCTGAAAGTGTTGCGAGAATGAAAATCATATCGCCATGAGGACTCCATCTGGTCTTCTATATCTAAAGATAATCCCAGTTTCCCAACGGATCAGGCTTGAAAGGTCAACCGTAAAATTTCATCTTCACAATGTGAAATTTCTGCAGTGTTCCCTGGACCCGAAATATCCCTCCAGGGCTGCACTGCTCTCATATAACATGAGTGCAACATATATATCATAAATCATATCCATTAATTGATATTTCATGGGGCATGAGCCAATGTTAGAACCAATTTCCCGATTTTTCCCATCGGAAAGCCCCGAAGTTTAACCTGGGGTATACCCCACGTTTCCAATGCCGGATAATAATAAAAATTGGGTTATTGAGTTTCTATAATTTCAAGGATTTTAAATCTGCATGAAACAAATTAGATTTAAGAAAATATTGAGAAAAACCATTCGGTGCACTTGCTGGCACTTGAAATTTGCCGCTTTTATCAATGTGGTTCCAATCGACAACAGCATTTAGTGTTGCTTTTCATGGAACAGATCTTCCTTGCAATCACATTAATATTTTTTCATGTAATAACCGCTTTAAGTTTTAAATTAAATATTTTGTATGCCACCATTCCTCATTGTCCAAATTCAATTTGCTACGACAGTAAATTTCATTCTATTTGCTAAATGGTTCCCAGGCTTTGGGATTTCTCCAAATTTCGACCCATGCTAGGCCAAACTTAGGCTAAATCTACCCTTAAACCCAATGAGTTGTGTAAAACTGTCCCCCCCCCCCTACCCCATCAACTTTGGTGCCCACCACAAAGGGGCTTCACAGCCAACTTCCAGGACGCAATTAGGGTTTCACCTTTGGAACCTGGAATCCGCTGAGAAAGCAGGATATACTGCAAGGACGGACAGACCCTTCCCTGCTTGTCTCGAAGGCCAGAAATAGCTGAATGCGTGGGGCAAAACAGAAAGTGCATGCACAACAGAAATATTCTCGCTAATACTTTCCGCTCAATGAGGCAACTGGAAACGACCCCCAGCAGCATCACCATCATCAAAACAAGACTAGATACATTTAATCACCCTCGTGACCTTCCCAATCAGAAAGGCTGTTATTAAAACGATTATTTTGCTATTACCGCGAAGGTAGCTTTGCTCTGCAGCGGACATTCAGATGCCGAATTATGTATACAACATAAATTCACATGAATGCAATTGCTCCGAGAATGATTGATCGACCCCGGAATATTCTCAGAGGAGAGTCCCCAACAGGATATTGCTGCCTTTCTATGTGGCGCATGCAGGAGTAGAATCTCGCAAGGGGATGTTGAGGGCGTCCCTGTCATCCCCCATCACGGAAGACAAGAGGGTGAGACAGAAAAACAAGGGGAGGGGAGGAAGAAACTCACTCTCGCAAGTGTATCCCTGTTGGATGAGACCCCATAGCATATCGGTGCAGTGGTGGCAATACGTAGGCTTGTGGAAGGTTTTCTTGTTGAAGCTATGGCCTGGGCCAGGAGGGCTCGGCTCCCCTGTATCGGCCTGGGCCGCCATACCTCGTCCTTCTTCATCCACCTGGCCGAGATTGCCTTTCTTTTTGCTCCTCAGTCTCTTCTAGAAAGAGATTGAAGCCCCCGCCGCCGACGACGCCGACGACGACGACGGTGGATGCGACGACCGGCTGGAGGCTTCTGCCGTATTGGCCATATAGACTGACTGATATATCAAGGGGTAACAATGGGGGAGAGGAGTGTTTCTCTCTTTCGCTCTCGTGCCCCTCTCGCAGCCAGGCAAACGAGGTATAGGCACTCACGAGAGGGCTGGACCGAGACGAGAAGTCATATGGGAGAGTCACACACACACGGCTGCACGGATAGATCACGTCATTTTCTTCCCCGGGAGAAAAGAGACGGATAAAGAGATATAAGGGGGGGTGGGGGGGAAGAAGAAGGACGAAGCTCGTCGCGGAGTATAGTCTCTGGAGCACTTCAGCTCACTCACTTTGGGAGTCTTCACGAATGCGCTGCGCTGCCTGACCCTGCGCACCTTCGATCCGATCTTATGCTCCAACCCACTTCCACACGACACGACGATCCATATACCCGGCTTTCCCCATCTACTCCTACTTTCCTACTTTCCTGGGCTTCGGATTGGAGATGTCACATTATGCAAACGATTCACTCAGTGGCATCTACTAAATAATATCAACGTGGGACGGTAAAGGGAGCACGAGCAGTAATGGGAGACGCTCTACGACTTGGTTTTGTTCGCGAGATACAATACCCTGTAAAAGAACTGGTCCGCCGTTTCCTACGACCACACCGAGGAGCCTGCGAAGCAGGCTGCGCTTATCGGACTGGCCGACACCGGCGACGAGGCGACGAAACGAAGGGGAACCTGGCGAAGTAAGGCTGGGACAGACAGCAAGGCCCTGAGTTTTCTCGCCGGGACCCCCAGATGTCAGGCCCCGTATATTATCGACTCCCGTGCCGGGTATGTGCAAGAGGGGGGGGGGATGGGGAGGAGAGAGGGGGGAGGGAGGGAGAGAGAGCGAGAGACAGGCAGAGGGAAGGGAAGAGAAGAGAGAGGATCTCTCCTCCTTTCTGAGGTACCCCGTAACCTCACATTCCCTGTCGCATCAACCAATAACACTGTTTTCTGTATCGAACCCAAACTCCATCGAATGGATGAACGACAGACGAAGGACGAATGATGTCCATCGGTCGCGATCGGTACTGGCCTTCCCATGACATTCGGAGCAAGGCAGAACCGAGCCTGTTAGCTTCTCGCTTTCGGGACGAGTCGACTCGGGGCTGGGCCTCCTCTGGGCGACCTCGTCCTTCTCCTTCTGCTCTATTTTCAACTCGTCCTCTTCCTGGAGAACGATCGTTTCCAGTCGAAGTTTGGAATCGATTCTTCTGAGAGACTGGATTGCTTCACTTTAGATATAGGCATTGCACTCAATTATGAATGCGTTATTCGCAAATAACGTGTCGGAAAAAAAAAAGGATTTGGATCAGGCATTCACCGTGTCTAGGGTGAGAAGTATCTTATTCTCTTAATCGCAAAATCACCAGAAAATATTTTAAATAGATAATTGGAACTGAAAAGGGAGCACCTCTTACAATGGGTGCTGACGCTTGGGGTCAACTATAATGCTGGTGTTCAGAGGAGAAAGTGAACTCCGAGACGAACACGGAGTGTAAAACAACTCCAACATTTCCCCAACCCAGAGTATCGCAAAATGTTTAAGGACTTGGTTCTTTTGTGACAAAAAGGTCGGCATTCGACCACAGATTCAACATTCAGGAAAAAGCATGCTGTTGCAGGATGGTATAACTAAGACCGATCAGAGAACGAAAATATCCGATCGTGCTCTGCCGATAAAAAGCCGAATCTTAACAGAGATTTCAAATGCTACTCTCACTTGTTTCGCGAACGATAAAACGCATAGCCACGTGAACGGGAGACACCGGGGACGAATAAAACGTGCAGCACATGCTCCATTGAAATCCTGCAAATTGATCTCGGAATGTGCCCGGGCGATATTGTCGATCGATCCGTCATTCCCACCGAGCGAGGGAAAAACGACAAGGTAGAGAGGAAAAAGCGTTTCTCACAAGGATCCAAGCAGAGGTGCCAGGTGTTGGAACCCAGATCTTCCCCTCCGCCCGACAGTCGGCTTTTCCCTCATTGCGGAGAGGCATCGCGTCATCGCCTCGTTCCACTGAAGATAATTTCCTGAGAAAACCACCACGATCCGTTACATCAGATCTTGTTTATATATGTCTCCGTGCATGTTTATAACATGCACGGAGAAGGTACAAGTGGCGGGAGTGCCTGAGGAAGGGCAGAGGGAGGGCAGAGGGAGGGCAGAGGGAGGGCAGAGGGAGCAGAGGGAAGGCGGAGGGAGGGCGGAGGGAGGGCGGAGGGAGGGCGGAGGGTGGTGAATGAAGGGCCAGGAAAGGGGAGCAGGAGATTCTGCAGTCCAGCATCCAGCATCCATCGTCCTTCGGGTCGACATCCATTGCCAATGAATGAGCAAGTTCGAAAATTAAATAAAAATTCTTGTGAACGAAATTGGGTGGAAAATAATCTCATTCTTGATCTCGCCCATGAGTTTGCATTTCGATTATCGGCACGATGGAGGCAATGCGAGAGCGAGAACGGCCAGACGGGAGGGCGCCGCAGGTTATGTGAGTGTCGTTTTCCCTTTTTAGGAAGGCCACCCGAAAAGTTTCACTCTCGAAATGATATACGAAGGGGAGGAGGTGCCGGTCTCCACCCCGGTCCGGTCCTCATTCTCTTCGTTACAGGGGAGAAGCGGCGCAAACTCGCGACGATTAGCGAAAAAAGGGGCGGATGTGACCGAGGCTCGGGACGAGGAATCTGTCGTCCGCGCGGGGGAGTTCCCATGCATCAACACGAGCTTAAAAATAGGTGATTATTATGCCACGTCCGTGCAGACGGAAAGCGTAAACTCGCGGAGAGCGGCAAGAGACGCGCCCCCGATGCACCGACGCCGACGGCATTTCGACGCGGTCGGGTCGGGTCGGGGTCGTGTCGGGTCGGGTCGGGGTCGTGTCGGGTCGTGTCGGGTCGGGTCGGGTCGGGTCGTGTTGGGTCGGGTCGGGTCGGGTCGGGTCGGGTCGGGTCGGGTCGGGTCCGAGTGCCAAGCCGGAAACGGGACGAACCCTATGCAGTCGCAAGTCGCACTCGTGGGCTCATACCGACGGATTCTATGCACGGTGGGGTGACGAAGAGAGAGAGATGGAAAATTACGATGAGGTATCCCAATCGGGGGAGAAAGAAAGGGGTGAGAAAAGAGAGAGAGTCGAAGAGGAAAAAGGAGAATCGGTGGGGGCGGATGTCTTCATCAGACCCTCTCCTTTCCCAAATCACCTCCTAATTATCCCTGGATTATTTCTGCGAGAATCCGATTTCCTTTCGATGCGTCGCCGTGTCGACGTGGCGACGCACACCCACGACATGCCATGCGAATGCCGAGAGGGAGATTCCTCGAGAGGGAGATTCCTCGAGGACTCAGGAGGATGAGGAAAGTCGGGAAACATCCCTGGGATTACGAGGCCCGTATCTGTATTTTACTTCGCCCGCGGGGATTGCTTCTCCTTCCTGCTCCTCCAGTCCACTCCGAATAGGCGAATAGAAATATTCGCTATTTTAAATTTACATAGCCAAAGCCCATGATATTCCTTGGCGCTATCGATTAGAAAAATATGTTTATATGTAACTGCTTGTGCAAATACGACCATAACATTCCATGCAAATAATTTTTTTAAATTCTCCGTTCAAGAGCAATTTAATTTCTTGATTAGTTTAAGGCCAATGCCTTCCAATTCCTGCTCTCTTTCCCTTTCGGTATCTCTCGGATCATTGCCCTGGCTTTATTTTTCTGTTCACGAACGGAATCCTGCTGTGGGGGGGAAGGAACGCTGGCGTTCTTTTCAAGGTTCTGCAAGGGAAGACCGTGGAAGGCAAGGAGATCCTCCTCCTCCTCCAAGATGGGGGAGGGGAGGGGAGGAAGGAGGAGGGGAGGGAGGAGGGCGGAGGGAGGAGGGAGGAGAAGTCCCATTCAACGAAGCCCTCGTGAGGATGCACTCAACTCAATCGCATGCAGGGGATCCATCCGCTTTGGAAAAAAAGGTTAATTGCACCAGTGACTGTCAGCTGGCTCAGACCATCCAAGGGGGATTCTCTCTTGCGGAGTCTACTTTTTTTTTAAATCGAAATTTTATCTTTGAAATTGAATGCTGGATATTTTACATTTGAAGTTGAATGCTGGAGATGCGGACACGGCAGCTGTTGACCGGTCCGACCCCAAGCAGCAGACGACATCAGGTCGGCGGTCGGTGCGAAGTCCATTGGCTCTATCGAAATGCAATCGTCGACAATAAATTCTGGAATCACGTATTCTGTTCATGGCCTCTGAGGCACGTCGTCGCACCGAATGTACGTCTTATTCGGACGGCCTTCTGCCGACAGGCCGACGGATATCAAATTATTTCCTCGGACCGAGGTCAGCCGCAACGAAAACGTCTCTGGTCGACTAAGTACCGGATACGCTGCCTGCAAGGGGAAGCGGCTTCGAGTTCCGTTATTCTCGTTCAATTACCTGCGTCGACCAGATATCGGTCCTGCAGAATTCGAAGGTTCACTGTATTATACCTTGTTGGGTGAGTTCCTTTCTTCTAGAGCAAGGATGAGCGAATCGAAAGGGGACGGATGAAACGATAGGCAGCCCTGACAGTGTACGAAGTGGGTCGAACGAACGGACGATCGTCTTCCCTCTCCGGACTGCCTCGGCACCTCGCGAAATGTAACGCGACCGGCGTGAGGGAACTTCACGGGACGATGTTGGTATCTGCGAGAACGGTGTTGAAAACCTGGAAACGATTAGGTGCTGAAGGAACGCAGAGCATCGAAGTCGAGCCTCCTCCGCGCCCACCCGATGCCCCTCGTCGACGTCCGACGCCTCCGTCTTTCCTTTCCACCGAGGCAGATCGCCTTCCTCGGCCCTACTCGACTCGGCGAGG